TTCTGGATCCCATATTAGTTCCATTTTCTTGTTTTAGGGCCTTCTTTACTGCTCTCCATGGTGGCTGCACACTTTTCCATCCCTCCCAACAATGTTGTACAAGTGTTCCCTCTTGTCTATGGCCTTGCCAATATTTGCTAGCTTTTGTCTTTCATAACAGCCATCCTAAACCAGAAGGTTTGAGGTGATATCCTCTTAAACTTTTCATTTATACTTTTCTGATAATTAGTGAAAAAGAGCATTTATTTCATATTCCTACCGACTATTTACATGCTTTCTGTTGAGAAATAGCTATTCATGGCCTTCAGTCTTTATTGATTTTGTTTTTTACTGTATTAGTCAGACTTTCATTGCTATAATGAAACCCCTGACACTAACTTTATAAAGAAAAGAGTTTATTTCTTTCACACTTCAGGACTTCCCAAGGGCAAACAGCTTGGTGAGCTGCAACTGGCTCTGGCAAGGGGTCCCTGGTAGACGGCAGATGGCAGAGAAGGAGTTCAGGAAGGATCATACTTTGAATAGGAAATAGAGTAGGCTGAGGTCTGTTTCTCAAGAGATTTCATAGGAACTACCTCCCAAGAGCACACTCCCAACTGAAGGACCTCCCATTAGGTCCCACCTCTTAAAGCATCCAACACTCCTAATATCCCCCACTCAATGGTCAAGCTTTCACTTATGCAAACACTTGGAGGGACACAATCCATCTACATCCAAAGTGTTGAACTTATTATTCAGTTGCTTGGATTCCTCCTATAGTCTGGTAACAAGCCTTTTCTCGGATATTTGGTTTTTCTAATCTAGTCTCCCATTTCATAGGTTGTTGGTACACTTTATTACTTCTTTTGATAGGGAGAAATGTATTCTAGGTTGATGTATTCTCATTTGTCTATTTTTGGTTTTGTTATTTGTGCTTTTAGAATCATATTAAAAATTCCTCACCCAGACAAATTCCATGGTGATTTCTCCTTCATGTTTTATTCTACAACCTTTACAATTTTAACTTTTCTGTTTAAGGTTTTGAGGTTTTTTTGTACATGGTATCAAAGTGTCTCATTTCATCCTTCTTCATATTTTCTACTTCTCCTGGTACTATTTCCTGCAGAGCATTACTTTTCCCTGTTATGCCTTCCTGGCATCATTATTGAAAACCAATCGACAAAAAATTCATTTATTTTGAGGGTTTCTGTTGGTTCTATTCTTCTATATATTTGTTCTTATTCAAGTGCAGTAGGTTTGATTCTTAAAGCTTTCATGGTTTTTGAAATCAAGGAATGTAATGACCCACCTCTTTTCTCCTTATTCAATATTGACTTGGCGATTTGGGAGTTCTGTAATTCCCTATGTATTATAGGTTGTGTTTCTATTTCTGTGAGAAATGTGGTTGGAATTTTGCTAGGATTACATAGCATCTGTAGATCATTTGAACATTTTAGCAATGTTAGTTCTAATCCATGAGCATAAACTCTCTTTCCATTTATTTATGCCTTCTTTAATTTCTTTTTTCCTTTCTTTATGATAGATTATAATTTTTAGTTTGAAAATCTGCCACTCCCTATATAAATGCATTCCTAAGTATTTTATTACATATTTTTATAAGTGGGTGATTTTCTAGATATCTTTCCTGAGTTGTTTTATGCATCGATATTTGCATTTTGATTTAATTTATTCACTAAACTTTCTGGGTGGATTCTTTAGACTCTTCATCTCTAATTCAGAACCTTCCATTTCTTTTTCTTGCTTGGGCTCCTGCTTAGATCTCCAGGTGGGTAGAAGTGGCAAGGGTGTAGGTCAGCTGTGGCTGTATCCTATGGTCTTTATTTTGTCAAGTTGCTTTCTTCTTGTACCTAATTTACTGAACATTATTTTTACCATGAAAAGATACTGAACTTTATAAAATGCCTCAGTCAAAGGAAAGAGGTTTGGACCTTCCCCATTTTCCTCCTGCTACTCCTCTTCTTCTTCTTCTTCTTTCGAATGAATTATTTTTATTTATGAATCTGTTGTTTTACCTACATGTATGCAATACACATATGTGCAATACCATAGAGTACATAAGAAGGCACCAGATCCCCTGGAACTAGAGTTATGGGTGGTTGTTAACCACTGTGTAGGTGCTGGGAACTGAACCTGGGTCCTCTGCAAGAGCAGTCAGTGCTCTAAATCACTGAGTCATGTCTCCAGCACCCTGCCCCCATTTCTTGATAATGGCACAGTTGTGGCCATGCACTTGGTTTTCTATGGGTATCTTATTGCTCAGCTTATGTTTTATAATTTGCTTCATCTCTTGTGTCCTTCACAATTATTCTATAACTCAGGCATCTGTGAACTTAATCAATTTTTTTTGTAAGTATTTTTGAGAAACACCCAGAGGGAAAAGAAGTTTTACAAGGAAAAAGTTCTAAACAAAGTAAAATACAAGCAGCCTTTCAAGTACAGCCTTCCCCAGAATTGCCAAACATGCTGGATGACAGTAGGTTTCTGGGAGAAAGGCTCTGAAAGGGCTCTGTCCCAGATCTGCTCTCTCCAGTGGCTGCTAGACTATTTGTTTTTCCTGTGAATGAATGCTGTTAATTTTCAAGGCTATTATAGAGATGGATACTGCAGGATGAGAATAATTAAGCTAAAATACCACAAAGCCCACTTATTTCTCCAGAGCGGCCATTTTCTTTTATAAGCATTTCTTGATTGTTGTAAACCTTTGGACATTTTCCAGAATCCTGAAAAACTTGATTTCAAAAGTTTTTGCATTTGTTTTTCTACCATCAGAGGCGTCATTTGAGTTTTTCTGTCAAGACATATTTTATATACTATGATTTTAATGTTCATTGCAAATGTAATTGGAAGAAATGTTACTGATATGAATATTTCTTGATTACAGACAATTTAAAGTTGACAAGTATGGAAAAGACAGCATAGATTATAACGTATTTTTGAAAAATGTAAGCCTTTATGTGGGTCTCCAATAGGTCTGGGGTCGTCAACTTCATCTCATGCTTTTATTCTGTCTGGTGGTTCACTTCTCCCCGTATTGAATCAGTTGATTCATAGAACCAAAAGAAAATGTGGCGGTCATGGTGTGAGGTTTCTGAAACTACTTCATGAATACATTGCCATTTCTATCTTGATCACTAGGACAAGCTGCTCTTGGGAAATCCATCATTCATTGTGTTGTGAGGACACTATGAAACAGCTCCAGTAGGCCCAGCTGGAGAGAAAGTGGGTGTTGTGCACAGAATGGGCACCAGCCACCAGCCATGTGAGTGACCGATTGGAACTGAATTGTCTGGCACCAGACCTATCTTCCAAGGTCCTAGTGCCATGGATCTTCTGATTCATGTTTTTGTTATAATTTATTCCTCAAGGATTGATTGCTAATACAATTTTACACTAATTAAAACACTTATCTACAAAAAATATCCTCAAGAAGAAGTTGGAATGTGTTTGTTATGTAAGTACTGCATATCATTACATGATGGGCTCTCCCATGGAATTTGTATCAAATTAATCCAGAGAAAACACCATCCGTCTTCAATGGAAATGGTTCTTTCATGCCCATGAACTTATTTTTTAAAATTTATTTTTATTGAATTATTTGTGTATTTCATACAGAACATCTTAAACAATCATCTTTATACCCCCGTTCCCACTGGCACCCTCCCATAGTCACCCCACTGGAGCCCTTATACTCTGTCATCCTTGTTAATGAACTTTTAAAGTTATATTCAGAGCAGCACAAATAATATTAGCATTATAACTGTTCTCCACTCATTTCCTGGTGATGGAATAATATCAGGACCAAGATCTGAAGATAATAAATGAAATCATAATCTTAGCTCTGAATATGGATGTAAATAGCCTAAAATTCCTAACAAATTGAATCTAAGAGGGCAGAGATTGCCAAAAAGTGAGTTATGTATCTCTAAAGCTACAGTAATTGAGATATGAGGAACAGATCTGAAGAACAGAAATATATTAATGGGAAAAAATTTAGATGATAGCTACACTAATGCCCATTATTAAATAGTACAATTTTTCCATTTGTATTCAAGTCATCTGTTTTGTGTGTGTGAGTATGTGTGTGTGTGTGTGTGTGTGTGTGTGTGTGTGTTATGTGGACAAGTACATGTAGATGCCTACAAATGCAGACGTGAGGTTGGTGTCAGGTGTCTTCCTTAACTGGGCACTACTTATCTTTTGAGATAGAGTCTCTTACTGAACCCCATGCATACCAATTGGCTAGACTTGCTGGACAGTGAGCTCTGGGGATTGGTTTGTCTCTGCCCCTCCAGTGTTGAGTTTATAGATGCACACGACCTTGCCCAGCTTTTATGTGGGTGCTAGGGATCCAAACTCAGATCTTTATGCTTGCACAGCAGGTGCTTTCGCCACTGAGCCTCCTCTCTGGTCCTAGTCAAATCATCTTGTGTTATATATAAATTACATACACACATTATCCATCTATGTGACTTGCAGTGATACCTGTTGACAGATTGACAGGCCCTGTGCAGATAAATTTAAAAATAGATCTTAGAGAAACTGAGAGAATAGTAAGTATTCCAGTTATAAAGTAACTGAAGAAGGAGAATAATTTAGAGAAGGAATTCAGTTGTCAATGGATATTTTTAAAAGTGAAGCTTAGGTGGTAATACGGTAGGTAGTATTTATCTAGTCAAAGTTTTTCAAGAAGAAAAGATTGAGGGGTAAAAAGTAAATATTGACAAAACTTGTGGAGATTATCTAGCCATATTACTGTGGGTGTTGGCCCACCTACTCAGTGCTGTACTTTCTTCTAATTGCTTAGTCGCTACTTTGCATATGGATTATTTTCAGCAAAAGAAATACAATTTTAGAAATTAAACAAATTATATTTGTTCATTTACCTGGAAGGAAGATGGAGTAGTTTGTTGCACGTGAGTAAAACTTTAGTAATTATTTTGCTTGTGACAATGCCCAGAGCTAATGTTGCTGTGTGCTATGATTAGGAAGGTTCTACATACCTGCAAATAGCGAATGACTCTGCAGACCAGGTCAGGAGCCATAAAGTCTCCCGTGAATCGCCAAATAATGTCTGTCAAGATGTTGATCAGTCCTGTAAAAGAGTCTGACAAAGACACACAGTGCTTAGTTTCAGCCTCTCCCAAATTTGTGGGTACGTTGCTGTGAACGTGATCCCTGGGGAGATAATATTTTCTCTCAGCTTAGCAGATGGCTATGGAGGAAAAACAAGACAAGGCAAGAGTTCCCTGTCCTTTAATATCGAAGCTTATATCTACCTAGGAAGGGTTCAGCAGGAGGAGGAGTAACGAGTCATGGAAGAAAGGATCAGTATTCAAGCAAGCACCTTGTGAGACTCAAAGCCAAAACTGGAGAAAGCAAAACTTTACTAAACTCATCTCTCTGTCCTGTAAAGGGAAGACTGTCTTCTCTGTGTCTCCTGTGGGCGAACACTGACTACTGGAAGCTTTGAATCTTGGTTTTTCTCATGGAAGACTTTTTATCTTTTCATAGTGTTCTGACATAAACCCAGGACCTCATGCATGTTAGGAAAGTGTTCTACCACTGAGCTATACCCCAGCCCTTGCTCATTTTTATTAAAATATATTATTTAAATAATGGGTTTCATTATTAAATTTTCAGACATGTATATAACATACTTTAATCATATTCACTCCATTACATCTCCTGTCATCACCATGCCCAATCCCAGCCTCCTTTCTCTCTTCAAATCCTCCTTATATTTTCCTTAAAAGAAGATTCAACACATGGGAGAAAATATGATTATTTGTCTTTCTGGGTCTGGCTTATTTTGCCTAACCTGATGATTTTGGTTCCATTCAAATTCCTGCAAATGATATTTTGTTCTTTATGGCTGAATTTATACTGGTATATATAATGTGCATATGTACCATATCTTTTCTTAACATCTTATTTTTTTATTTTATTATGTGTATGAGAGTGTATTGACTGCATGTACGTAAGTACACTTATGTTGTGCAATGTCCACAGAGATCAGAAGAGAGTGTCAGATCCCTGGAACTGAGTTAAGGACTGTTGTTGGCCACCATGTGGGTGCTGGGAACTGAACCTATGTCTTTTGCAAGAACAGCCAGTGCTCTTAATCACTAAGTGATCTCTCCAGTCCCAATACGTGCTGTATCCTAAAACTCCATTCCTCCATTGATAGGCATCTAGGCCAATTCCACAACTTGGCTACTGTAAATGGTGTCACAGTAACATGTGAGTCCATGTATCTCTGCTACATGCTGACATGGGTACCTTTCACAGTTACCCAGGGGTGATAGAGCTGGGTTATGTGCTAGTTCTATTTTAATGTTCTAGTTTCATTTCTGTTGCTGTGATTAAAAAAAAATCTGGACAGTAAAGCAACCATTGGGGAAAGGTTTATTTGGCTCACAATTCCAAGTTACATCAATGAGGGGGAATCAAGGCAGAAACTGAAGCAGCTAGTCTCCTCACATCCATAGTTAAGGACAAGGAAAATGTAGATGCATCCTTGCTTGCTCACTGCTTTGGCTTAGCCAACTTAGCTCTTATATGGTACAGGGCCCAGCTCATGAAATGGTGCCACCCACTTTCATGGTAGGTCTTCACACCTGATCCAACAGTCAGTACAATCCCCCACAGACAAGTCCACAGGTCAATGTGGTCCAGATAATCCTTAAACTGAGACTCTCTTCTCATGTGATTCTAGGTTACTCACAGAAATCTTCCTGCCTCTGCCTCCTGAGTGCTGGGATTAAAGGCGTCTGCCACCACACCTGCCATACTGATTTTTATAGTGGCTGCACTAATTTGCATTCCCACAACCAATGTGTAGGGGTTCCTTTCCCTTGAATTCTGATCAGCATTGATTCTTTTATTTTCAAATTTTTTATTGATTAATTTTGTTGTTTGACAATTTCATCAGTGGGTACATGCCTGAAGGCAGTGATTTCCCTCTCCCTGAGTTTGTCCTTAGCAAGTAGTTCAGCAGTGAGGGGTGGGGCTCCTGGAGCCCCTCCTCCATTTAAGCTGCTCCTCCATTTAAGCCTGAATGTTGATGGTCAGCTTGATGGGCTTTTTTCAATATATAATTTTTATTGGAATTTTTGTATATTTCATACAATACATCTTAATCATATTCTTGTTAAGACAGTGCAGGCATCCACAGTTGCTATGAGTTTGTGATTCTAATGTCTGTGCCTTGCCCAGAAAATGTTACTTCTAAGGTCTTCTCTTATTTTCCTCTTTTATATTATTTCCACTTCTTATTCTGCATGTTTCCTGAGCCTTAGAGAGGATGGTACAAAAAGTCTTGTTTAGGATTGAGCACACATCCATCACTTATTCTCAGGACCTTATGCAGTCATGAATCTGCGTTTACCACTGTTTGTTGGAAGAAGAGGCTTCTCTGATTAAGGCTGAGTATAAGGTTTATCTATGGGTATAACAATAAATATTTAGAAGGGAGCTTGAAGCTACATTAATTTAGCTAAACAACAAATTCAGTTCCCCCCAGGGCCCATGATCTCCCCCACCTTGCTTTTTTAAAAATTAGTTTCCAGTGTTTCAAATTCAAGCAGAGAGTAGTTGTTTACCTCCACAACCACAGTGCCATTATTACACAAGTATGTGCATATTTCTTGGCCAGGTTGGTCTCATATATCACAAGATTCACAGGTGGGTAAGACAATTGATGTCTTTTCTAGCCCTCAATAGGGTGCATAAACCTCCTGGAGCTATGAAAGCTATCTGGAAAGGAGGCTGCTTCCAGCTCACTTCCAGCTTGTTTTCTCTATATTGCACATCCAAGGTGTGTGGTGTCTTCAGCAATAGGATCTTATCATCTAGTTCTGGTGGGCAACCAAAAGGAATGGCAAGAGTCTGTATTGTTTTGGGGGCCTTGAGGGCCTCCCTGACTAGCAACTCATAAGGAAGTATCCCACCTTTGGCAGTGGGTTTTGTTTAATAACTCACACTTTCTGGGAGCAGTTTTCTTCAGCTACAGTATTTATTCTTGTTTATTTTCTTGATGATAGTCTTTCTAATGGGAATGAGAATGGACTCATAATATACTTTTGCTTTTTATTTAAAGAACAATTTCTTGAGACCAAATAGTTGTTCTGTAACAAATTACTGTTGGAAACTGTTTTGCAAGAGCAACTGTCCACTGTACCAGTGATCAACCTATCAAAGTTACCTTCTTTGACCCTTGAGCTATAATCAGCACCACTGGCCACTCTCTGGGACTTTCATATTTCTTAACTGCAATGGAAAGCCACAAAACATGGTAACTCATTAGGGAGCTGGCCTTGTACCAGAGTATAGGATTGGATTCATGAACATGGAACCCACAGTTTGTATCATATGCCTCATACCCCAGGAGCTGTCCTCTATGAGCCCTGAAATGGACTATTAAGGCACTGCTAAAGTGCATCTTAAAGAGAATGCTCATGCACAATTACATCCCTCTTTATGCTGTGTTCTTTACAGCAAGCTTACATAAGTTTGAGAGCCAAGAGGTAAAGGGTGGAATTGCCTCGCTCAACCTCATTCCAGTGATGCACTGGAGGATTCTAAGTCTCTTTTTCTTTTTGTCTTTCTATAGGTAACAATAAGCAACATCAAAGGCAAGTACATAGGAGCTACATCAAAGTATCAAAATCTTGGAGAAAAGAAATCCTGGGGCAATTCTGGGCTGTGAGGGACATGCTTTTATTATTTTTTCTCCTTCCTTCCTTTGTTCTTTCCTTCATTGGTTAGTTCATTTCTTCTTTTCTTCTTTCTTCCTTCCCTACTTTCCTCCCTCCTTCCTTCCTTCTTTCATTTCTTTCTGTGCATATGGTGTATGTGTGTGGTGGATATACCCATATGTGTGGGAATCTGTGTGTCCATGTGCCTGTGGAGGCCAGAGGAAAACATCGAGTGTCCTCCTTAATCACCTTACTTCCTTTGAGACAGTGTCTCTCACTGAACTAAGCTTGCTGTTTTTCAGCTAGAGTGGCCGGCCAGCAAGCTCCAGGGATCCTCTTGTATTTTTCCCCATTGTGCTGGGGTTACAGGATCACATACAGTCATACCTGGCTTTTTACATGGGTACTGGGAGTCTGAATTCAGACCCTCATGCTTGTACAATAAGTGCTCTTGCCCACTGAGCCATCTCTCTAGCCATCTGTGAGAGAAGTTCTTACTGAGCAGGGTAGACCTGAGAGTTTTGGGCTGTGACCAATCAAATAGGAACACAGAGCATCTCCTGGGAGGAATGGAAGAAATGAACGAGTGAAGTAGATGTTGGAGTTGTTTGGATATTCTCCATTAGTCTACTTATTCCTTAACTGAAAGATAACAGGAAAACTAACTGGAGTTCTAAGTGGCTATGAATAATTACAGTATATTCTGGTAAAATCTGTTTCTCTTCTGGAGTTTAATCTTAAATAAGCCTATTTCTGGGAGTACACTATCCATGCAATTATGCCACAGCATTTGTTAGTTGCTATTAAGCAAATTATGCTATCTCTGATCAGCACACGCTATTTAGTACCTTAGTAATGAGTACACTGCAAATAAACTGGCCCTAAGTAGTAATTAATAGGACCTCAGGAATAAAGGCTACACTTTAAAGGCCTAATCACTTACATGGATTGCCCCTGCTTCTTAAAATTCATTCTATGAAAGATGCTAGGGAGAGGTAATATGCAGCAAAACAAAGTAGACGCTCATGGGGCATTTTTGCTACTTTAAGGGTGTCACGAAAATGTGAATGTGGGTTCTCATGAGGAGCACAAATGTTGAGGGAGTAGGGAGAAGTCAAGGGTGAGGCTACAGCCTGGCCAATCTAAAAGACCAGGACGAAAATGCCAGGTAAAAATGAGGCAAAGAACATTGGTTCTGGGCACAGAAAAGGACGTGAAAGATGATACAGCGTCTACATCAATAATGACAGCTTGTCATTGGTAAAGCTTAAAATATGAACTAGGAAGTGGGAAGAAATAGAGCTGAAACGTAAGAATTCAGACCTTGTTGGCCCCGGTGCTAGTTGAAAGAGCTGCACTTTTTCAATAAACCAAGGGAGATATTACACATTTATATCTTCAAATGTGT